ATTCAATAAAATATTTTCAATGTCTGGATAATTATTTCTTCCTGATTACATAAGCAATGTAAGCTGTGAAAAGTAAAAAATTTCAAAAATCAAATATATGCAAAGAGAAAGTCCCAACCCCCATTTTTTTAATTTATAGAATGTCATTGGAAATATAATTGTGTCATAGCACTACAGATTTTGAGATATGTGGGTCTATTGTTCTAGAGTCGATTGAAAAAGTAATACCTGTCTTTTATTTTCTTAAAGAATTTATTCCAAATGCCATTTATTCAATGGGGCAGAGGAGGGAATGCATTTAGAAGTTATGATGTTTAGAAGGTGTATTTACAAGTTATGACACATGCTACTTTCGTGGGGTTAAGAGGACATCAGCTGGTGGAGTTGTTAGCTTGGTCTGGGTATCAGAGTAGGGAGACAGCTGTGTATGTGGACAGTCACGGGTGGGATTTCTGTAAAGACCAGGTGAGGAAGAATACCAAAAGAACAGCTTGCACAGTTTTGAGTCCAGATGGAAGAGGGAGATAAGCAAGAAGAAAGTGATCCAAGGGTGGTGGCATATGTGACAACACGATGCAAAAATCCTCTTGAAGGGGCTGTCACGGAGGATGTGAGCATCAGAGTCAAATAAATATACAGTAGCATTAAATCTCAGTGAATAAAATTGTAAACCATGAATCTATAGTGAGGCAATAAAGAAACACATAAAATGAAAGTTTGATGAGGGATGGGATATTTATAAAGTCAAAGATAACCTCTCTGCTAAAGAGATATTAGTTACAAAGGGAAAAACAGTAATTTACAGTGGAAAAACATGGATGGCAACAACATAATCAAATGATCATCAATAAGAGGAAATAAAAATTTTGTTTCACCTAAGGAATACTGTGGTTGTCAGCTTCCGAGATGAGTCTCCCCTCATCCTGGGATTCAGTCTCTTGGCTGCTCTTTGTCCGCAAGGAGTGAGGCTGATTGTGTCACTGATAATCTTATTAACAAAATGATGAAATGTGACTTTTGATGCTAAGTCCAAAAAGGCATTACATGCTCCAGAGGGAGCCAGATGCCATATATAGGGACTCTCAAGCACAGGCAACACTAACTTGCCACCATTTGAGAGAATCGCTTTTAAACACAACTCCAGCCCTATCTAGCTTCCAGATGAAAACAGCCCTTGCGAACATCTCAGTCGCAGCCTCATACATAAAAATGCAACTTCATGAGAGAATTGCCCACTTATTCTATACTTTTGCCTGATGCACAGAAATGATACAAGATGTTTAGACTTTTTCAACGACTGGTTGATTTGGTTGTGACAAGAAGGCATCATTTGGGGTCAGAGAGATACAGTGCAGGGGGAAATTGTTTGCCTGGCTCATGGCTAACCCTGGTGTGATTTACTGCATATGGTTCCCCAAGAAAAAGCAGGAGTGATCCCTAAGCACAGAAACAGGAGTAAGCCCTGAGCACAGAAGTGTAGTCCATAGACAAAACAAAACAACACACACAAAAAGAGATAGAATCATTAGTTTGTGCTATTTTGCCAGACATACATAACCTCAATCTCGTCCTAATGAAACAGAAACTGTGATTGAGAGCCACTGAGCAAAATGACTGATCTTTCATCTTTCATAGAATCCGGGTCACAAAGGACACCGAGATAGTGTCCTGGGGTGAAGAAGACAAGAGACATGACTTTTCACACATCTTTGCACGCTTTGCCTGATCCTAAGTGCCAGGGATTCACCACAAAGAACATAACTGGGACAGCTGGAAAAACATGGAGATGTTAGGATTAAAATGCAGATAAGAATTCGAGAATAGCAATATGCATGTGTTTATGGCACTAATGTGGTTATGTAGCAATATATACATGAAAGTATCCGGGACTGATGAAAGCATCAGGTTAGCAATTTAGTCTCTAGTGTTAAAAGGAGGTGTTTTTTTTTTTTTTTTGTATTGTACTTGCAGTTATTTCCGTAAGTTTGTAATCAAGCAATTTTTAAACAATTATGCAGAGACAAAAATTATGTGGTCCTTTCTTATAAAAATAGACCTACCTATCCTGTGCTGGGCAGGCCCAGGGGCCCCTCCCAGTGCTGCTCAGGGCACCCTGTGGTCCCACAGATCTCACAGGGTCGGCTGGACACGCAACATACTCCTCAGCCCCTGCCAGCTTGCAGATTCCTGCTTCAGTCTGTTTTTTTATTTTTTATTTTTTTGCTTTTTGGGTCACACCTGGCGATGCACAGAGGTTATTCCTGGCTCTGTACTCAGGAATGACTCCTGGCGGTACTCAGGGGACCATATGGGATGCTGGGAATCAAACCCGGGTCAGCCTCGTGCAAGGCAAACACCCTACTCGCTGTGCTATTGCTCCAGCCCCTTTGGTCTATTTTTAAAGGGGTGAGGTGCATTCAAAATTTTGAATCAAAAAAATATTTTGAATAAGTCTCTTACTGATAGGTATTTAAATTGATTCTACTGTCTCACTCTTACAAAAAACTCATTCCTTGTTACGATGAGCAAGATTAGTAAATATTTTTCTAAATATATGTGTGCCCTTGTTTGGTTTTGCCCCCAAAGGCCCGGAGGCTTATTGCTCTGAGGATACATTATGTGGTGCTAGAGATGGAAGCTGGCTCCTGCTGTCCTGTATCTCTGGCCTATTGCTTTTCAAACACCTTTTCTACTCTCCCCTGCACTCCCCTGCCCTCTCCCCCAACTTTCCACCCTGCCTGAATATGCATCCTCAGGGCCCATTTTAGCCCAGCCCTATGAACAACTTTATGCTACTCAGACTTCCTTTTTTCCTTCCTTTTCTCTTGAAGATTGAAATGATCTTTTCTTCCTTTCCTCAAAATCCCTTTGGTCCTCTCAGAGAGTACTTATGGGCATAGTCCATTCTAAGCAGACTTTATATTACAACAGATACTCATCTCCCTCAACAGACAGTATTTTCTTCTAGTTTTGTTTATGGAAATTCCAACATACAACAGATTTGCTATAGAATATGAAATTCGAGAGCTTATTTATAGAAGGGTGAATGAATTTTCTTAGGAAAATGGATGTCTGATTTTCAAAATCCACAGTAAGACTGCCAGTGTTTGAATACTGTGCATCCCACAATGACCTAGAAATGTGAAAGGGCACTTAAAAGGGTTAGACGTGATTTTTTTTTCATGCAATGGTTTGTGCTTTGTCTTCAGCTTACAAGGCCTAATACCCAAGAAGCATCATATCTAGAAGACTTTTGTTTTTTTCACGGTCCATAGATCAACTTTGCTTCCAGATCTGTGCTACCAGTCACAACTTTGGTTATTCCCCACCCCTCCCATAACCCCTCTTCCCCTTTTTCCCCTCAGTGGAATATTTAGGGACAGCAGAGGTAATAAAATCGATCAAAGAGATAAGTGAACTTTTTGTCCCTGCAAAAGCTAGTACTTACGGACATAAGTACTACATGGAAGCTTCCCTTGGAGAATTTTAATATGAAATTTGTTTTCAAGTTAAAAAGCATCTCCTTGTCAACTGGAAGGAGAACTGTCCTTGAATCCTGTTCTGGATGACATAATAAGATATAATACTTTCCTTACATATATTTTAAATAAGAAACGTTTGGCATTGTTAAGTATTGTCCCTCGACAGAGTGCACTTTGTTGCTGAGAAAGGCAATCGCGTAGCCTTTAGGCAAAATGCTTCTGGGGTTCTCTCTCTTACCCACAGGATTTGGACAAAGCTGAAAGGTTTTTGTATTGAAAGGTTTAAGCAGCAAACCAAAGGAAAGTTCAAACAATTATCAGTCTTTGAGAAATGTCACTGTTTATGTGAAGGCACTGGTTCTTGGGTGCTGGGGAGCTGGTCTCACCCCCTTGGGGTGGTCCGATATTCAGTTATGTCTGGGTGTGCTCCTGGAGTGCTTCGTTTGGAACCAGCCCAGTTGGAGTTGCTGCTTTTAGAGTTCGTTTTCATTCAGGCTCTGAGGATATGGGTTTTGGTTTTTAGTTTAGCTTTGGTGTCTTGTGACTTCCTACGGATACCTTCTTGGAGACTAGGATACTGTTGGGCCGCATTTCCCTCTGATCTCAGTGATTGTCGCTCTTATTCACCTGCTCCCGTTTGAGGTCCCTTGGAACCACATGTTAACAATCAGCGATGAAAATTCTTTTTCCTCGGAGATTTCTGTTGTTGTTGTTTGTTATGTGCTACGTGATACATCTTAAAATGCCTTTTGAGAAACTAAAACCACAACCTTGACGCGCGGTCAGAAGTCTGTTCCAAACAGCGCTCAAGTGCCGTGCGTGTTTGGAAGTCCAGCCCCGCGGAGACCTTCCTAGAAGAGGTGGAAGCAGGCGGGCTAGTTGTCCCTGGCTCCTCATTCGTGCTGACCGGAAGTCGTGGACACGCCGGGTCTGAACAAGCCACCTGGGGGCCCGCCGAGCCCTGACCACTGTGTCCGAGCGTGTCGCGCTGTTCATCTCCAAGCTTGGCGGGAGGGTGCGGGCTCCCGGGGAAGCCGTCGTTCGCCTCCAGCCAGGACTCCTCGGGGGAGGGGGCAGGGCAGCGTGCAGACGGGGGTCCCTGGACTGCGCTGCAGGCGGGGCCGGGCGGGCGTAGCGGTCCCGGCTCGGCGGCCACCTCTGCTGGAACACGCCTTTGTTGTCCAAGTCCCGGCGCGTCCCGTGACGGCGACGGACGAGTGCGAGCGCGCCCGGCTCCGGCCCCCACTGCTCCCTCCCCGCGCGGCTGCCGGAGGCCGCGTGAGCAACTTTGTCCGGGTCCTCGGGGCGGGCGGCGACGCGAGCGGTGACGTGGGAGGGGCGCGGGCGAGGCGGCGGCGCGGCGGGGCGGGCGGAGGGCGCCGGGACTGGCCGGAGCGCCCCCCCCCCCACGCCCGCGACACCCCGACGTGTCGCAGCGCCGCGAGCGCCGTCACGCCCGCTCAGCCGCCGCTCGCTTCCCCCCGCAGGTTCGGGATGAGCCCCGACGCGGCCGGGCGCCAGAGCCGTCCCCGCCGCCCCCGGCGCGCCGTCTAGAGGGAGCGGCCCCGCCGCGGACCCCGGCCCCGCCGCAGGACGCCGCCGGCCATGCAGTAGCCGCCCGCCCCGCCGCGGACATGGCCGGCCCGCGCCTGCCCCTGCTGCTGCTGCTGCTGCTGCTGCTGCCCGCGCGTCCGCGCGCCCTGCTTCCGCGGTGAGTCCGCGCCTCGGGCGGCGGGGGTGCTCCCTCCTCGGGGCAGGGCGGGGGGTGCTCCCTCCTCGGGGCAGGGCGGGGGGCGCTCCCTCCTCGGGGCAGGGCGGGGGGCGCTCCCTCCTCGACCCGGGGCCGGGTGGGTGCTCGCTCCTCCGGCAGGGCTGGGGGTGCTCGCTCCTCCGAGCCGGGCTGGGTGGCTACCTCCCTCCTCGGCCCGGGCTGGGTGGGTGCTCGCTCCTCGCGACCGGCCGGGGTGGGTGCTGGGGGAGGGAGGCGTGCTCCTCCCCGGCCGGTGCTTCCGCTCCGGGGACCCCGGGCCTCGCGGAAAGGAAAAGCCACCGGGCCGGGCCGCCTTGCCCTGTGGGCAGAGCAACTTCCAGAGAAGCGCGCAGCACCCGGGAGGAACAGCCCAGCCCCGCGGGCGCTGGCACTCCGGCTCCAAATTGGGGATTTTTCTACCGTGCCGAGCGCTCCCGCCCGAGCGCTCCCGCCCGCGCACAGGATCCCCGAAGGAACCAAGCCTGCCCGCTCGTTAGAACAGCTCGGTGGGAAAAGTAGGAAATAAGCAGGGTGGGGGCAGTACCCGTGCAGCCGCGCGCCCCACTCCGTGCCCAGCCGGTCTCCGCGCGCAGGGTGCACTCGCGGGCGCAGGGAGACTCTTCACCCCGCGCGCGACTCCCAGGATTCTGGCTGCTGCCTTGTACGTTTGGGGCTGGCTAGCAACACTGGGCACCCATAAAAGAGTTTCAAAAAAAATGATTGGGTAATAGCTGAAATATTTCTGCCCTTACAAAACTGTCTTTCATAATGTCCCTATTAACTGTGCCCGATTAGCTAGAAATAAATATGTAAGGTGATGGAGATTTTCTGGGGTCGACTAAACGCAGCCTGATTGCTTGCTTTTATTATCTTTTATTAGTTGGATTTATATTGGTCGGGAATGATAAAGATGCAACTCTGAGTATGTACTAGATCATCCTGTAGTCATCACAAGTTTCAGAATTAAAAATACTAGGTCACAATCAAAGCTTTAAGGTCGTAGGGTAGCACCTCCCCAGCCCCCCCCCCCCCCACACACACACACATATACATACATACAAACTTCCTTCTCTTTTCAGGTTAGCATTGTTGAAATTGTGATTTATTGTTGTTCAGGTTCAAAGAAACCACCAGACCATTTTCCAATGAATGTCTTGGCACCACCAGGCCAGTCATTCCTATTGATTCATCAGATTTTGCGTTGGATATCCGCATGCCTGGAATCACACCTAAACAGGTGAGAGGAGCTTTAAATTTCATTGTTTTCTTTACAGCTTCAGAGTAAGGCAAGGAAATGCACTTGTGGCCGTGGGCATTTCTTTAAAAGTGGGCATTTGCTTTAGAGAATCCTCAGGTAGGGCAAGAAAAAGTAAGTATTACAAAGGAGAGTACGTCTTTCATGACATATCTTTCAGTTACATAGCTTAAAATAGTATTTCACTTATTGTTATTTATGTTTTAACAGCAGCCCTTGAAATTTTGCACTTTGAAGTTCTCAGTGGCATAATAGCCTCTGGTGCAGCATGTGTGTATGAAATATGAAGAGCTGCTCTAATAGAGGGGAATGATCCCAGGCAGCTGTGTGTCAGAGATGGCCAGGCTTAAATGCTAGAGATCACGCCACAAGTTGCAAAACAAAGCATGTTTGCTGTCAAGAATTTGGGAAAAAAAATCATCCTGTACTTAAATATTTAAGAAAATTGTTCATACAAGTGGTTTGTTATGCATTTTCTTTTGTCCAGTTTGGTTGTTAGAAGAAATCTAATTTGAAGAAATAATGACAGAGCTCATAAAAAATGTGTGTGTTTGTGTGTGAGAGAGAGACAGAGAGAGACAGAGAGAGAGGGAAAGAGAGAGAATTTTCAGTAGAAGCATTTCTAGGACTTTGCTTGTTTTTAAGTACCTTCTTTTCAAGCAGCTCAAACCCACCTACTGTCATGTGTGTGAGGTGTTTCATTAAGCATAAAAAAGACCAGAATTAATTAGGCTTTGCAGCCCAGCTGTGAGGGATTTATGGGTGTCATTAAGAGAGAGGTTTCTCCTTTTGAAGGGCTGCAGGGACCTGGATTTTGTGGAGCTGTGGTGGCTGATGAGTCACTGATGCAGATAACATTCTCTTTTTCATTTCTTTTCCTTTATTTAAGGACTGAGAAGAGAGAAGGGATCCTCAGTATTGGGGAGAATGCCTTTGCAAAGAATGTGTAGAGACTCAGAGTAGATACTTTGACTTTGGGAGGGTTACAAAACATCCACCTTCATGTATTTGAATGTCTCTTTAAGATCGAGCTGGCTATGAAAGACTAGTGTTGTTAAGAACTGAGACTAATTCACACCTGTCCTGGGCCAGCTAGGCAGGTGACTTTCCTGAGTGCTCATGTTGTTAGTGTCCTGACCATTAATTCCTAAACTTTCTACTTCATCAGAAGAGGTGTGGTAAGATTAGCACTCAGAGCCAAGGAAGAGGGTGCTCTCCTGTGAAGAAAGCCGGTTCTGCTTTGTTTCTTCCATTCCTGTCAGACCCCAGCCATATTTGTTTAAAGTCACTTTCTACTTTTTTTAAATTCACTAATTGGTCATTAAATAGTGTTTTCCTGCAAGAATATCATCATTTTCTCAGTCTCCTTGCGGATTGTTATTCTAATTTGCTTTTCTTAATATTTTATAGTCAAACATTCAGTATATTTAACAATAATAATAATTATGGTTGACTTTATTAGGACAGATAGTCTTAAAAGAATATAGAGAATTTGCATTTCCATTTTTAATAAAACAGTATGTCGGCTTCTTATTACAATGTATAATGATCAGAATAGGTTCACGCACGAAGTGAAATTACAGTAAATTGTTTGGCATTGTCTGCGGTCACCCTTGCCTCATGAAGCAGCATCTGGTTGCCTGCCATCTGCCTTGTGCAGTGGGCATCTGCTGGTCACTGTCCCTCTCTTTGTGCAGTGGACATCTGCTGGTAGCTGCTCCTCTCCTCCTGTGCAGTGTTTATCTGCTGGTCGCTGTCCCTCTCTTCCTGTGCAGTGGGCATCTGCTGATCACTGTCCCTCTCTTCCTATGCAGTGGTTATCTGCTGGTCACTGTCCCTCTCTTCCTGTACAGTGTTTATCTGCTGCTCGCTGCCCCTCTCTTCCTGTGCAGTGGGCATCTGTTGGTCGCTGTCCCTCTCGAAACGGTGGTTCCCAGGAGCTGTGAGTCAGGACCCAGAGCTGAGCTACAGTCCTCAGTCCCTGACACAACCGCTGGTTCAGGAGAAGGTGTGGCCTACAGCAGCCCACTTAAATCATAGAACTTGAGCATTTCTCTTTTTCTGTCGCCTGTCAAGATAGGATTTGCTGAATCCTCATGGGGAAATCAGGCTTAGACTGAAATTGATACAGTAGAAAGCAGTGGAGTGAGATGAGGATAGAGTGTTCTGGAGACAGTGCACTTAGGAGTTTTCAGTTATTTTAGGCTTTTGCACATGTTGAGTTTTCTTTCACTTGCAACTGAAACCTCCTATCTGAGCAAGTGATTCCTTTGTGTATCTGATCAGCTCAGAACTGACAACTGACGAATGTTCCTTCCACTTTTGCTCTATTTGCCACAGGCTAGTTCTTACTGACTCCATCCAGCTGACAAATGTTAGATACCTGGGAAGCCTTTATGAGAAATGGTTAGTTGTACTTTGTACTGGGCATCCCTAGGAAGTGAGAGCTACCCCAAGACGCCCTTCTTCCTGAACTTGGTCTTCATGGGGAAGAAGACTCGGAACTGCAGTACTCTTGAGTATTTTTGTTGAAGAAAGAATTCTTTATTAAAAACAAACAAACAAACAAAAAACCTGCAATGAATCTAACTTTAGTAGCTTCTTAAAAAAAAGGAGGGGGGAATTAAAAAAAGAAAAAGAAAAAAATGGGAAAGAAGGGCTGGAGTGATAGTACAGTGGCTAGGGTCTTTGCCTTGCACGTGGCTCACCCAGCTGCCCATATGACCCCCGAAGCACTGCCAGGAGTAACTCCTAAGAGCAGAGTCAGGAGGAACCCTAAGAATTGCAGGGCATGGCCCAAAAACAGGAAGGGAGGGAGGGAGGGAGGGAGGGAGGGAGGGAGGGATGGAGGGATGGGAGGGGAAGGGAGGGGAGGGGAGGGAAAAATAGAAAATGATTAGAGGAAATAAATACAAGTTGAAAGAAAGGGAATAAAGAGAGCTGAGCCCTCTAAAATTTCAAGGAATAGAATAGTTAAGAACAAAAGTTAAGGGAAAAATTGGAAGTAACTATGTAGAGCAGAATATTTTAAAAATCATGTAAGAAAAAGAATGAGGAAAATTTGAAAAAAATAAGGAAAGACACAAAGGAAAAAATGAACTTTTATCCATTTATATTTTAAATGAAGCAAAATATTTTTTACTTAAAGGGATTTAGTTAAAAAAAGTAGGAGGGGAGAGAACGAGACAAATATGTACAAGAGAGAATGGGCTTCTCCAGAGGGGGAAAAAAGGCAAAAAAGACTTTTGTTTCTTTTGGTTTTGGGGTTACATTCAGCAGTACTCAGGGTTTATTTCTGGCTCATTCAGAGGTCACTCACTGGTGGGGTTCAGGGGACTATATGTGGTACCAGGGTTGGAACCTGGATTACTTGCGTGCAGTGCAAGCACCCTTCCTGCTGTACTTTATGTTTTCCTTTCCTTTTTTTTTCCTTCTTTTTTTTTTCTGTGCCAAGAATGGCACCCAGGTCTTATTAAAAATATATTTTTAAGTGACAAAAGATAAGAAAACTGGAAAATTTAAAGAAAGAAGAAATTGAGAAATCAGGACTTGTATTTTAATTTAAGCAGACCAAATCAGCTAAAGATGTATATTCATTTGTTAGATTTGTTTTTAAATTTAAAAACTATGTTTTTAAAAATTGAAGTAGCTATCTTGTAAGTTTCAGTTGTGGGTCACTAAAAATAAACCTGTGCATATTCCACATTAATTTCATCACCAAAAGCCCAATTCTTTCCTTCCCCATAAGTTTGTTTCCACTCATCCCCCCCACACTTTTCTCCCTCATTGGTCTCGTAGTTCAAAAATTAATTTATCTCAACAGTTATTATAAAATCAGCCTTATGATTTGGCAATAATGAATGCTCTATTAGTAAATCTGATGTAAGTTCTTGCCTTAGAAAATGAAGGTTGTTGGCATGACTTGAGCGGGGCAATTGCAGCAGTGGGCCAGGCTAGCGATAGCTATAACACAGACAGTCCCGGACTGGGGAAGGAGGAATACACATTTAGCTTTGATCTAGCTGCGTCAGACCTCTCTGCTGTGCTTTATTTGGCCAGACTGTCTGCGTACGTTAAAGGAGTCATTAAATACCTTTTCAGTTTGGGTGGAAGGAGAGAAACGGGTCATTGGTGGTGGGAAAAGTAGGCTGGTGAAGGGATGGGTGTTGGAGCATTTTATAACTGAAACCCAATCATGAACAGCTTTGTAACTGAGCCTTTCACTTCACTGTGTGAGTCAATAAAAATAAAGAAGTAAAAATTAAAAGCCAAGGGAAAAAAGATAAAATAATGACGAACATTTGAAAAAAATGGGACTGGAGAAATAGAATAGGGATTAAGGTGCTTGCCTTGCATGTGATCAACCTCAGTTTGATTCCTGGCACTGTATATGGTCCCCTGTTCACACCATGAGTGATAATTGAGCGTTGCTAGGTGAACTGCACCCTGCCACCCCTCAAAAATACCTTCATTCCCCTTAAACCTGGTCCTTGAGGCCTGGGAGAGTAGGTTATGATCTCTTACAGTACCCATTTTATCATCAAAGTGAGCTCACTTTTTCCTCTTCTCAGACTTGAAATTAAAACTAGTTATCTCTGTCTTCCTTCTTCTGTCTAACTTCATTTAACATGAGATCCTCCATTTCTATCCAAGTTGCAGTAAATTGCATGATTTCACTGTTCCTAAAAATGTACCTTATGATTTAAGGCGGTAACTCCTGGCACTACTGCACATGCTTTGCCTTGAGAGACCTGGATTCCATCCTCAGCACCACCTCCTCCCCCAAGCTAAGCCAGAAGTGTCAGTACCATTGAGCACCAATCTGGGAATAACCCTTGGACCTGCAGGTATAGCTTAAAAACAAAACATAAAAATAAAATGGATTTTATGACTAAAGAAGGAAGGAACAGTTGAAATCAGTGTTCTTCCCTAAGTTCTTACATATAGTTTCCCTAATGTGGATCCTAATTTATTTTTATATT